TCTTGCCAGGATTTTGCCAGCAATAGAGAGCAGAGTAATACTACAGTAATTTGAGCAGTCTGATTTAACTCCTTTCTTCTTATACAAGATGATGATGACTGCACCACGAAGGTCTGATGGTAGCTCGCCTAGTTCCCAACAGCACACCACAAACTCATGAAATTTAGCATGGAGTGCAAGGCCCCCATGTTTCCAGACTTCCGGTGGAATTCCATCAACCCCAGCTGCCCTGCCAGTTTTCACCTGCTGTATGGCCTTAAGCGTTTCTCCCAAAGTGGGGGCAATATCCAGCTCGTGCTTCACCAGTTGCTGGTGAATGGACTGAATAGCTGAGTCTTGGACTACACAACTAGTATTGAAAAGAGTCTGAAAGTGTTCAGACCATCGATTCAGAATGGAGGTTTTATCTGTCAGAAGCGTTTGACCATCAGCGCTGAGTAGAGGGCTTTGGACCTAATATGTAGGCCCGTATGCTGTTTTCAGGGCCTCATAGAATCATCTGTGATCACCTGTATCTGCGCATAATTGAGTTTTTTCAGCTAGACTGATCCACCACTTGTTCTGGATGTCACAAAGTTTCTGTTGGAACTTGCTGCATGTAAGGCGAAAGGCTGTTTTTCTTACGTGACAGGATGGCAGTGCAAGGTGTGCTTGGTGAGCGGTTCTCTTCTTCCTCAACAATTCGTGGATCTCTCGGTTGTTTTCATCAAACCAGTCATTGTTCTTCTTGAGGGAGAACCTTAGGGATTCTACAGAGGACTGCAGGATGCTGGTTTTTATATGGTGCCAGAGTATTTCAGAGGGAACATCTATAGAATTTATGGAATGGTTTTCGAGCCTAGTTTGAAGATTTGCCTGGAATCTGTCTCTCACTGAGGCTGATTGGAGATTGTTAACTTAGAGTCTCCTCCTTAGGATACTGCCCCTTTTAGGCTTGAACTTAAGGTTGAAGTTAAGTTTACAGTGCACAAGTCAATGGTCTGTTTGGCATTCTGCACTAGGCATCACGCAGGTATGGTGGACATCGCGGACATCTCTCCGTCGCACCAAGGCATAATCGATGAGGTGCCAATGCTTAGATCTGGGATGCAGCCAGGTTGTCTACAAACTATTTTTCTGCTGAAAGATAGTATTAGTGATGGTGAGCTGTTGCTCTGCGCAGAATTCTAGCAGAAGTCGACCATTATCATTGCAACTTCCAACACCATGCTTGCCTAATACTCCTTTCCAGGCTTCAAAGTTCTTTCCTACTCTGGCATTGAAACCACCAAGAATAATGATCTTATCATCTGCAGGCACCTTTTGGGTAAGGCGGCGCAGGTCGGTGTAGAATTTATCTTGTTCGGCAGGGTCAGCTTGGAAAGTTAGGGCACATATGCTAAAGAGGACAATGTGTTGCTTGTTGTGGAGTGGAAGGCGTAGGGAGATAATGTGGTAAGAGTGACCTGTCGGCAGATTTTCGAGTTTAGGAACAATAGAGTTTTTAATCATGAAGCCAACTCCTGAGAGATGCGTAACCGGCACCATGTTCTCTAAGGCTGCCTTCCTTGTGGAGACGAACTTCACTGAGAGCAACTATGTCGATGTTGAGACGTGATAGTTCGTGAGCGATTAGGGCAGAGCAATTCTCAGGACATCCACTATCTGCAGAATCAAGCATGGTTCTGATGTTCCAACATGCTAGAGTCAATTTGGGTACACCTTTGGAGGCAGGTGCATGCCTTTGTCTTTTGATCTTTGTGTGACCATATTAAGTAGAAGGTGCCTGTTGGCCGCGGTTAACCAACCGGGTGACAAGGGAGATGAGCTTTTTTTAGGCTACCTTTTCTAGGCCCCTCTCTGAGTGGAGCAAGCAGTGCTGTCCTTGAAAAGGCTGCTTGGTCGTTCAGGGTGCTGCCCAAAGAGACTGTCATCTCCGGTCAGTCTCTGACGACCAATATCCTGAACCGCCTGCATGCAGGGTTGGGTCTGCAGCTTCCAACGCACCTTTCACCTGCCGTTTCGACTCTTGCCCATCACTACAGGGCTCTGCAAATGTGGGTAAGGCCTTTGAGCCTGCACAATGGATTTTTTAGGTGAGATGCAGTATGCGCAGAACTGGACCAACCCTTTAATCCTAAGGTTCATCTGCCAGGGCCGAGCAAGCTTGGATGCTGACAGCGAGATCCTTAGGACATAGGTTTGTTTAGAGTGTCCTTCTCTTAGATGGATGGCCTTACAGGGCTAAGCGAGCTCCATCTGCCCAGGTTTGGGGTTAGAGTTGTCCTTCTCCTAGGATGACTGCCAGAAGGCTAGCGGGCTCATCCTGTCCATGGACATGGTTTTATCTACCCCTTCAGTTTGGACCTGTCTGGCATGGGAGACCCTACTGAAGGCATGTACCATCGCCAGCATAGCTCGCAATCGAAAACCCTTACTACAGTTGAGATAAGTAACATCCACTGTTCTCCCTTGTCCATGAACTTAGTCACTTCATTGTTGAAAGCTATAATGTTGACCAAGGAACATATAGAACAGTATTTCCAGAACGTAAACTGATCTTGGTATTTTACATGCCACTAATGGCATAATGTTAATTTTTTACTGTGTAGTTTCTGTCTGAAGGGAAAATTCTGAAAGCTCCTCTATGAATGCTGAATGAATTACTGTAAAACTGTGAAAAGTCTGCTCCTTATAATAAAATTTTTAAGGTTTTGGAAAGAAGAAAACACAGGGGAACACTTGCTGCAGACCAAACTCCACAGCAAAAAGATTCTTTAGAATCCTTTTCTGTTTCAGAGCTAAAGTACCTTAGAGTTTTCCCTTAGAAGATTCCCCTTCCCAGTTTACAATTTAAATAGGAAGAAATCAAATACCATAATGTCATATAAGGTCACAATTTTCCTTAGAACTTAAAAAGCTACACATGTCCTGCAAAAATATCTTGAGAATATCCTAGAATTGTTATGAAGTGATGCACCCTGCAGTGATTTATGAAGAAAATGACTGGAGGGCTGGCCTGATTAATACTTGTTCCATTGTTTGCATTGCTTTTAATTTAATAACTAAAAAAAGCCCTTAATTTGAAATTCTGGTATAAAAAATAGTATTATTTTGGTCTCACAGCTCACTGCATACAAATTAAGCATTTCCATGACCAAAGTGATAAAAAACTGCATAAAAAAGGGTCTTACAGAGTAAGAAATTAGACCTGTATTCGTAATTCATATACTGGTTCTCTGTCTTGCTCCCCTTTTTATTTTTGTATATATGTCATGCTTTTTAAAATGCTGCTTTTAATATCTGTGTAATAGAATCTGGCTCAGCAGGAGAGAAATAGTTACCCTCTATAATTCCTGAAAGGTTTTATCCATTTTTAGTAATTTTTATATTGCCGTTCTGATGTTTTCTTATTAATTTCAACAGTTTCCTATTACAAGTATTTCTATGTCAGCGCATCATCATTCCAATACTGCCAGTTATCAAGTGTTGAATAAAAATATGCAAACCCTCACTTACTTTGGGATTGTTGTGGGTGTACTTCTCAGAGAAGAACTTAAGCAGTGATACTAATGCCATAACCACATGTAAAAATAGGGTGCAGTTGTTTCAGTACTGTACACTGCAAATGAGAGGCTCCTCCATCCTGGTTATGCTGAATGCTGGTCCTGTTCTGTCCAGGACAGACTCTTCACAGTATTTTTTTTTCTATTTTCATCTCATCATTAGGTACATCTTCTGTTTCTTTGTCTCCATTTGGTACTCCCACAGTGCCTATGCCCGTGCGTAGGGCACAAAACAATTTCTTAAGAACAGACATTTTTGCTGCAGTTAGAGCTGCCAACAGTCCCCTGCATTTCTCCACTGATGATGATACCATTCATCTCTACTTATATCAGCAATACCAAAGCTCTAGCATAGAGAGGCTGACACATCCTCTGTTGTTTTAAGTACCGGTCACAGGACCTTCTCTCATCACAATTACTTAAATAAGTGCTTGTAATAAAAGCAGCAGTTACTGGTCCATCAATCATAGAGTGATGCTAGCACTGGGAAAGGTGAACTGCTTTGGCAACAGTAGGAAATCCCAGTAGTGTTGCTGGAGTTGCTTAGTAGTGATGCTTAGCAGTAATGCTACACCTCAAGAGTGGTTTCACAGTTGTAATGAGTACAATTGAAGGAGTCTTTTTGCATGCAGGACTAAGCCCAAAAGTGACAAAGATACTGCAAATGAACAACAGATTATTAGAAGCTGACCCAGGGCTATATCCAGGCATACTGGTTGTATGCTGTGAACAAGATCTGTGTGTTCCCTTTCACTGATAAATAGCGGACTTCATCCATTGCTGTGTAATCTAATGCCTTTTCTCTCTACTAAACTCACTTAGAAAATATGTTTTCCACTGGCTAGGTGGTTATTTTAACTATTCTGTGTTGTGTGTGTGTATGTGCATGTCTCCAAAAGGCCTATTTTCATAGCTTATATGTGGCTTAGAACACTTCAACTCAGTGAAAATTAACTGATTTTTAAAGTGACAAAACACAGCTCATCACAAAAGGGCAGTTTTGCTAGACTTTCTGGAATTTTTAGTGGACGTATCTAGGATAAGTACAGTCCATTGCTGCCTAGGATACCTTCTTTCTCTAAAACAGAGGCAGTAATATCTATGTAATATATCTGGAGATTTTCTGACGATAATTCCTGTGCAAGAGAAAGGTAATTTTTATCATTCTTAGGTGGAATGAATCAGCTAGTTCAGTCAACACAGACATAAAGTTTTAACTGAAGTGTTAGATCCAACTCTTTTCTCCAGTTCTGTGCAAGTGATTATGAAATTTCTATTACGGAAGAGTTTCTCGAGATGAAACTGGGGTTTGGATTGTGAGACTAAAGGTCAAGACCTTCCTGTTCATATTACTTACTATTAGAAGCCTAGGAGTAAATTTGAAGAAGAAAAGGTTGTTTTGGGGTGAGATACTGTTTTAATTCAGTATTGCTTTTTCAATCCTTATTTTATTAGGATTGCCAGGGGATTTCTTGCGTTCTGGACGATACTCTGCTCATACCATCAATGGTGCCTGGTCACCCTGGTCTCCATGGTCTCAGTGCAGTCGTGACTGCAGTAGAGGTATACGGAATCGCAAACGGGTCTGCAGCAATCCTGAACCCAAGTATGGGGGACTTCCTTGCCTTGGCCCATCTCTAGAGTACCAGGAATGCAACATTTTGCCTTGTCCAGGTAAGATTCAAATGAAATTAGAGAAGGGAAAATAAAATAGTCCAACTTCAAGGCTATATATTGCAGTAATTGTTTTGCTTTTTTCTTTTTTAGTTGGTGGGTTTCGGTTTTTGAGTCAATTACAGCTCAAATTTACCTCTGTAATATATGTGGATTTAGGTAATATTCCCATGTGATGTCATCAGTTTATCTTCAACAGTAGTAACAGCTATGTCTTTTTTCACTTGTGATACTGATTGTAAAAATATAATTTTAGTATATAAACTTATCAGAAAAAAAAGACATAAGAAATCTGGCAAGACATGAGAAATCTGGCCTAGCTTTTATTTGAACTCAAAATATCATTTTCATCATAGTGGTTGCTGGCACTAAATCTGTGCTAGCTCTTGAATTTAGAGCCTCCAGCAAATAAGACTTGGGACTGATCACCAAATTAAATGGTAATTCAAGTAGGCCATAAAGATTGTTCTTGGAACCTTGAGTTTCTCCTTCATTGAAAGCTTTTTTAGGATTCTATGAAAGGAATTACAAGTAGAATATGTGTTTACAAGAAACTGCTTTGGATTATAAATCATTGTTGCTTCTCAGACATTTGGCGAAAAAAAAGATCTTTGTTTCAGTCACCTCTCACGCTTCATAAAACAGAAATCCAAACTGAAAGGCTTTTGAGCTTTGCAGAGGCTTTCTGGAAAAAGGAAGGGGAAGGATATAGGAAAACACATGAAGAAAAGAAGGTGCAATTGGATTAGGAGGAAAGAATTCAAGGTAAGAAAGAATAGTGAGGAAGAAGGAAAAATGACTGAGATAGTTCTTTACAGTAGCAACAAATAAATTTAGAAATAAGCCTTCATACATCTTTAATTTTATTAATGATGTATAAGAGTACCGCATATTTTATTATCGGAGAACTGGAACTTTTGTAATTTATTCAAGTTTGGATCTGAGGAATTACTATGGCAATATACCTATTACATGTGTATCACTATCATAAAACATGTGTGTATTAATGTGTGTGTATGTGTCTGTATATATATATTTTGTCCAATGTTATTGCAGTGCTTTCCCTAAGCTTTTTAAGCCCTTTAACAGTCACTGCCCATTCTCTGCATTATAATCTAAGCAGTAGGCAGATCTGTACAGAAGGACACCGTTCCCTTTCAGGAGTACACAGTTTCTTGAAAAACGTGCTTCCATCTTGCATTAAACCTAAGCAATGTGTTTTGGCACATAGCCTGCAAACCCAGTAGCTCTGTGATCGTTCTGGCTGTTCACTGAAAGTGAACCTCTGCAGTTTTACTGCTAACAGGAACAATAGGATTGTTTGGCAAATTGAATGCCCTGAGGTATTTAAGCCTCCATCTCTCCTGCAGGTGTGGCAGATCCAAGGGGGATTTCTGCTGGGCATCCCTGCTTCAGTCTGGGGGAACTGAGCCCACTGAGCCATTGAAGTTCTGAAAGAGGCACATGGGCACGACAAGCCAGCACTTTCTGGTGAAATTTTCTTGCTGCATCCAAGGAGGAAAGTAACTTTAGTTGCTCCTTGTGTAGCTCCTCTGTTAGTGTATCTGAGGAGGTCCAGGGAAAAGACTATATGCTTCTTTCTGTATAAACAATTCTGTTTCATGTGACTGCACTGTTGATCTGTGAAAAAATTTGAGTGTTGGCAGTAATGCATTAGGTCAAATGTTTTAGAGGACCATTGTACTAACACGTGCAAGCCTCCTCAGGGATGTATACAGTAGGTAAAGGCAGTTAGAATGTAGCATCTTCTCCTCAGTTCCTTCTTCCCTTGCAAAGGGAATCCCTCCACAAGACACAGGCTTCAGCTTCCTTTGAAGCATGTGAGTGATGTAGTATTAGCTAACAGTATTATCACAAATTTTAAGATATCTGATTGTATGACCATACTGTAGTAACAGCAGTACATGCATTAAACGGGCCCAGATTTGTTTTTCATCCTTTGCTATTAATTTTCAAATTTAGTGCTGTCTTCAATTTTTGTTGGATTTTTTCAAAGTTAAAAGAAGTCAAAGGGTTTCCGAAGTGGTATTTTTATTGAGCTCTGCAGCTATTACACTGTTATATTTTTGAAGGAAATTGTTTTAACTGGTAAAACACAGTTATGCAGACATAATTTTGTTGTAGAGGCCCTAGTTGTTTATGGGTTAGCCAAAACCTCAGACTAAAATACATGAAGTTGTAAGGCAGAATTTGAAACTGTGCTTTAGGCAAAAATGATTTCCTCTTCTGTTGTTTCTGAATTTGAAAATATTTTTAAAGATCAGTAGACATAAAGTGTAGTGGGCCTTTCTGAAGCAAGTAGTGTCCTAATATATCTAATAACCTTTTTCAGAGACAAGTTTCATTTTTCTTTTTAGTGCAAAGCAAATTTGAATAAAGATGTACAGATTGAATTAAATATTTAGATGTATCATATCCTACAACAAGGAATCACAAAGTTCCTCAGCTACAGAACTACTGTTTGCCAATAATTAAGAAGAAATGGAGAGGGCTAAATCAGATCTCAGATAAATCTCAAGGGAAAACATTGCCAGCAGTAGATGTAATTAATTTTTTTTTTTTTAAGGCATGGGAGAGTAAAAAATTATTGCAGCATAGGGGTTATCCATAAATTAGACCTGATATAATTTTGTAGAAGGGAAATAAATTTTTATTAGAGAAGCATACCAATTAATTTGAATTCTCTTAATTTTTAATGAAAGTAGCAGAAAGTTTAATTGGTGGCTAAACATGAACATCTATTAGGTTGACATTCATATGACATCATCAAGAAAGGGCAGACATAAACCATACATGAGTGAAGAGCCTCTACTCCAGGCCCACATGTACAAACCTACCATATCCCACAGTAAGGACACAGGGGAGACCAGCCAGGAAGAGAAACCATAGCTGAATCAGTTTTCAGCCTTCTTGTTAATGAGAACAAGAAGGTTCTTGTCCTTTCAGTGCTAGGGACTGGATTTCATTTCCTGTGTGCTTATAATATTTAGGATAGCTCTATAAGTCATTCTTACTGTAGCTATCTGAGTGAGTTTCTAAAATGTCCCTGTTAGGCTTTGATCACACAGCCCTTGCTGGTGTTAATGAGAAAGGCTGGTATCAGGGCAGATCTCACTGAGGTATTGACTCCTCCCACAGACTAAGTTGTAGATAAACATAGAGTAAATATGTCAGGCCCTTCTTTCCAGTGTGAGCATCAGGGAAAAAAACAGGGAGTCTGCATAGTTCGTTCTTGTCCATGTAGATAAGTGTGGTGCATGCAGAAAGGTGAAGGAATGTGGGGAGATTTTGTTCTGACCTCGACCTTAAAGTATTTGCCACAGTATTGGAAATAAAATTGCAACAAAGAAGAATATGATGCTTCATAAGATTTGCCTGAGCTCCCTCAGGGTAAGAACAGCTTCACCTGCTCCATGCTGGCACAGAACCACTTAGTTACAGTACAGTCCAGTCATTTTACTTTTAGAAATATTCTAGTTAGTAGGAAGGGGTACAATAGCAGCCATAAGGAACCCTTCCTGCTCATGCAGGCTCAGGTTCTGCTTTGCTCCCTCTTCCACTTATTGCAGGCAGGATCAACCCCTCGTGATGTAAACTGCTGAGAAAGAGGAGTGATAGAGAATATGAGCGGTGTTTAAGTCATGCTGAAAGTCAATAGGACTTTAATCTTCTCAATCAATTAATCTGGGCTCAGTGTCATCCTGGAAGACACCAAGTGCTCTGAAGGACTAACACAATGAAAAAGTCCACGGAGCAATCAGTGTACAAGGCTGTCTTGTCTGGTTAAATGTCTTGCACCATCATTTTAAATATACTTATTAATATATTAATAGCCAGCAATTTATGATTGAATGTGCTGAAGGATCCCAGAACTTAAAAAAATTGCTAAATTCATCTAGAACCTGCCTTCGGTGGGTACTGTTAAATCTTTTTTTAGCCTGCAAGAGAGAAACAGTGAAGTTTTTTACACAGTTGTAAATGGTCCAAATCTTCGTTCGCGAAGCCTCGCCATATAAATGGTCCACTGAAGTGCAGATTGCTAGCAGACACTAGGCAGATTGCTTTTTGTTCATAGTATCTGAAGGCTGAATATATAATAGTAAATTGAACAGTGCCAGAAAATTGCCAGAAATTGTACCCAGGCCCTGGAAGATGATTTGTCTGTATTGTTCAAGTTTTAGAATGATCCCTCATACAATTTTGCCTTCAACTAACTACCACTCTCCCAAATAATCTGCAGAAATAGTTTGCAAGTCAGTACAGGGTAAAGGCATGGTCTCCGTACTCAGTTTCCATGTGGCTAAACTACTTTGACGTACAAGGGAATTTGAACTATTGTCTTGCACTAGCAAGTTATGCTTTGGCACTATGTCTCAGCTCCTTATTTATGCCTCAGAGATGTAAATAGCATTGAGCTGGCAAGAACTGAACAGCCTCAGTAACTATGGAAAGGATCTGTGAATGCTCACTGACATTTCTGGGTTTTTTGAATTACTAATATGAGATCAGTACTAAAACAAAGAAATCTATAATCACTCATATCAGGGTTTTGTTATCCTTGGGGGCTTGCAAGATATTTACATTACGAAGAGAAATCCATGATGAAGTGTTGTTTGAATTTTAAATTCTGCAAATCTACAAAAATTAAAAGACTTTACGAACTAAAAGAACATAAGAAATACTATCCTAGTTCACAGCATTACAAATCTCTTCAGTTATTTCTGTAGAAAAGGATAACTTTTTTTTATTTTTGTTTTATTTCTTGTTGTCTTCTCTTATATTCTTTCTCATAGGGACATAGGTACACTTGGCCAATGTCCCTTAATCAGGCATTTAAAGCACAGCTACATGAGCACCACTGAGTAGCATGAGCTACAGGAGTTTCCATTCCCTCTTCTTCAGAGCATAGTGTTAGATCAGAGGGAAAGGACAGTTACCATCTCTTAGATTTGAAATTCTGATATTTCATAACAGTATTTTGGGATTTTACCAATTTCAGATTTTTATTATAGTAGTTTTAGTTTGGTTTAGTTGTGACATTTTGGCTAAGGTCACTAAACTTGCTAATAGCAATAACAAGTTTCAGATATACAAAACTCCCTGAAAGACTATTTAAGTTATTTATGCATCCCTAAAGCCAGTTGTTGTTTATTGTTTCTTTTCTTCATTATTGGGGGTTTTCCTCCCATTTTTTTCCCTTTGAAGTTCAGATTTGCCACAAGGAAGCAAGAATGTATTTAAAAGAACAGACAGAATTTATCCTGCAATAACTTCCTAAATCAGGAGGAAAAACAAATATTCCAGTAAAGCTTGTCTCTGTGCCTGCTGCATTGGTATCTCTAGGCTGCTTCTGTAGCCAGTAAGAAGAGGAATGAACTGTCCCTTGAAACAACAATTGCTTTTCTAACTTAAGAGTCTCAGTTGCAACTTAAATCCAAGTGGATCCTTAGATTTTGTTCTTTCCTTAGAAGTATTTATTTGCCTTCTGTGTTTCTGCCTTGCACTATGTTGACTGCTTGTTTCATCCAGCATTGCTTTTATGAATAAAAGGTATCTGTAGCATCACAGAAACAAGACTTTGACTTTGTAAACTATGATGTAAAAATTGCTCTTTCCCCACACTGAACATGCAGCAATATCCCACAGGATTAGGAAAAAGCTGTAGAATAAGTGATGTGGAATTGGATGATCCCCAGGTATCTGGAAGTGAGCAGTGTTCTCTTGGGTCTGTAGGCTGCCCAATATGCATGTCCCCAGGTCTTACTTTTGCATTTCTGCAGGGGGAGAGGACTACTGCCTCTCTATTTTTACTCAATCATGCAAACAGAAAAGACTGACTTTTCAGCATTTTTTATTCTCTTTTGCCACACTTTTAAAAAGATTAGCATGAAAAGTTATAAACCTAAAGGCATACACGCGTGCACACACGTGCGCACACACTCACAAAAGCAAACCACAAACCAAAAAACAAATGGAGTTTATTTGGGGTTTTTTGGTTGTTTAAATTCAAAATGAGACCAGACACTATATGAAGGAGCCTGCAGTCCTCTCGCTGTTCTTAGGTGAGGCTAGTGTGTCTTCCCACACTTCCTTCCACTTCCTTGTAAAACCCAAAGTGCATAGCAGGGTAGCAAGTGTTATCAATTCTCTCTTGGAAATTCTCCAGTAGTCTGGATGTTTTGTCATGTCCCCTGGAGATCCCATTTCTGTACACTGTTTCTTCCTGGTACATCCTCTTTCCTATGGTGTGGATTTTTTTCATTATAGTGAAGAAATATTTATTAACCTAAACAACAGCCAGTAGGCAAAAAGTTGTTTGCTTTACTATAAAGCAAAGAGCACTGTTTGAGAGCACCCTGCTAGCTGAAGGAAGCCTTCTTCCTAAACGGATCAACCTCAGCTATTGTCAGAAAATGTAAAGACTCTTTAAATCTTTCATTGTGGAACTGCTTTAGCAACTTTCTTTTGTCCAACAGCTCTACAAAACTGTTATGTAAAGAACCTGTAGTGACTTTCCTTGCAGCTGTGTATTTTTCCTCCTATAAGAGGCAGAAATAACATTAAGGACTCCATGACAAAAGGAAAAAAAAAAAGAAAAAAAACCCCAACCCAGATGGTTCTGTGTTGCTAAGCAACTTAAAGAAAGATGAAAGAAACCACAGAGCTCTATTTAGGTCTTGTAAAAAACTCAAGCAGTAAATACCCACTGCTTTGATCTTATTTAACCGTGATGATGCCTTATCATACTCTGTTGCTGAAAAGCAAAAGTTCTGGGGACAAATAAAAAAGGTACTTATGATAGTCCTTGAAAGGCTAGAGATTTAGGAAGGCAGCCTGTCAATAAATAGTTGCTAAATACCCAGTTATAATTGCACCGTCCAGCTCAATTAGGATCAAATCTAACTTTGTCTAGTATATTTGTCCTTTCCCATCCTCCCCAGACCCACTTCTCCCTTTATATCTGAAGTTATGTAGTACAGCCATGATCACTGCAGCTGTGAAACATGATGACATGCCTGGGTGTCACATCGGTCTCTGTGTTCTTGGCCCCTTTTAGATCGATGGCATAATTTCAAATGCACGTGCATTTGTGTTTCTGGTCCATTGAAAAATAAGTAGAAAAGTGTTGGGGGTCACTGTCTCCATTACAGTGAACAATGCAGAGGTAATGTTTCCAGATGATTTATATTCTGTCTAGGCAACCTCAGGCAGAATCAATTCTGGTTTGTGGAACTCTATACGCTGCAGCAAGTATGCTTCTGATTAGTCATTTTGAGCTAGTCAGCAATCACTTTAAAGAAAAAATAAAAAAACTAAAAAGGGAGTATCTAGAAAGGTAAAGCCTTAAATGTCTCATGAAAGGAATAGCTTGGATAACAGCTTCTGCTTTTATTTGACATAATTTAAAAAGAAAGAAAAACAGAGGCAAGTTCTGAATAAAAGATACCATGTCTTGAAATTGTTATAAAATTGCACAGTATATTTCACCTGCACTGAAGACAAATAACCTATGGATTTCTTAGATATGAGCTTGCATAATACTATATTAACAGAGTTATCTCAAGCAAAAAGACATATTTGTTTTCCAGTGAAAAGTATGAATAAGAAAAATATGAATAAAAGAATAAGTCAAGTACTCTACCGAGATAAAGTATTTATTTATGATAGGTGGTATAAAACTCTCTCATACATCTGTATAGCTAGATTATTTGGTTGATAAATATATCCTGGAAAAAATGTAACAATCATTGAATTCCTTAATAAGGGAAATAATTTATTTCAATTGCATACTTGGAATATAGTACCAGATTCCACAAATCCTATCTGTCCAATCAGGCTTCAGAGTCTACATACATTACTTGCAAAAGTTTTTGCAACTACAGTTCTTACCAAGAAAGTGCCAGCTCCGTGCTTTCTTGATGTTTAGGATAATGTTGCAAATAAAAAATACAGGGAATAAAATGCTGTCTATTCAACAGCTTCACTTATAGGATTAGTAAGTAGCCTAAGACATGCATTAGTGAATTACCTGTTTGAATAGCAGTTGAGAACTTGAGGCTATGCTATATCTGAAATTACATTAAAAAATGCATGTGTAGGTTTTAATATCAAAATTCTCCTAGATCATTTTCTCCCTCTTGAAGCCTTTGCATAGAAATCATTCTACTTGACTCACAAAGTGCATTTGTGATATACAATGCTACAAAGCCAAAATGAGTAATTCTTAACTGTTCTAGATCTCCATTCAAGAGAGATTTTGAGTGCAGTACTACACAGATATTTTCATTGTAAGTTATTTTTTTTTAAAATTTGGAACCCTTTTTTTTTTTTGTTAGAGATAATCATGGAATAACACTTCAGTACCCCAGTAGAAATTACTCCTTGAAAAGTTGTTTCATTAATTGAGCAGAAAAGAGCCATTATGAAATGGTAGTGAATGTTTTGGAGACTTCAGTGACTATCAATTTTTTCAACAAACAACAAAATCCTACAAAGATTGTCTTAAATGAGAATGCTGTAGAAATTATGTACAGAGAAGGTGTACTTATTTAGTATTTCTAAAAGTGGGAAATAATAAGTTTCTGTTGTATGTGGTAAAATGCCCAATGCTGCTATGAGTGATGGGAGAAAAACAAGTGAAACTTCTGCTTGGCTTAGGACCCTATTAGAAAGGAAAATTTACAGCACATTGCCTTTATAGTACTTAGAGGCTCATCTATTGTGTCGGTTGAATTACACACTACTTATTTCAATCAGTTTCAGGTGTGGTAAAGAATTTTCTTACTTAAGAATTAAGAAAGTGAGGGACAAACTTTAAATAGGAGGTTGAAAAGAAATGAATTTTTTTGTAGGATATGAAAATTTTTAAAGTTTAGGTTTTTGTCTCTTAAAAAAAAAATTGAAGAGAAATCAACAAAACACTGAGATTCTTTGCAGCAGGAATGCTGTTCCTGGAAGGAGTACACCTGACTTTGCCATGTGGCTGCAGATAGGAAGCCTTTGACAGATGAGCTGCAATGTGGCCATGAAAACCAGAAACACGTCCTGGAGCAGTAGCTGTAAGAACAAAGGCTGCAAAGGAACCAGTCTAGGGCAGGCAATGAGGTCAACTTTCACTAAAATCTTTTCTAGTGGCCATGTGTCAAAAGCCACTGACAATGAATCTCTCATGAAATCCAGCCTACATGTCAGAAGAATCTTGTGAAAACTGAGTGGAGAATAGTTTGACATTCTTGAATTAGTAAATACAAAAGAGCAGGGTGGAAGGAGGTGGGGGGGGAATAATAACATTTATTCTTCAACAACTTGTGTTAGAAACTTAAGGTGGCAATTCCTTTTTGTCCATGTATGTAGCTTTTTTTTAAACTTCTGCCATTGTTCTGCTGCTGACATCTCTGCTAGAGCTGTGTTAAGATTGTAAGTATATATTAGCCCATAAAACTCTACAAGTGTGTTAGATCCTTTGAAATGGGTTGTAGGGTTAAGGCAATCCAACTGGGTTCAGAACAAAATCTGGATTCCTCCATCCTTCTGTTGCTATTACTGGGCGAAGTTTTTTTCTATCAATAAAAAACAACTCTGAGCTTATAATACTTCTGCTAAACAAGCTTGGTATTCTGTTTCCTCACAAGTGAGAAAAGACTTTTGGCCTTCAAGATATTATGGTACCCACTGACAGTGTCTTTTATGAATGAGTAATTTTGTTAGGCTTTCCAGCATACCAGGGGCTTTTAAAAAATGTAAATTAAATTGCATTGTGGTAAGATTAAATTTGTGGGCCTATGTTCAGTGGCACCTAAAAATGTCCAATAATTTCCGTAGGCCATGAATAAGATCCGCAGAATATGAGGAAGATGGGCTGGATTATGTCACATCTCACATCAGTTTGGGAAAATACAGTTTTTTGTGTCTTTTCAGTGGATGGAGGCTGGTCTTGTTGGTCATCTTGGTCAAAGTGCTCAGCAACTTGTGGAGGAGGGCATTACATGAGAACCCGTTCCTGTACAAACCCAGCACCAGCATATGGAGGAGATATCTGCCTTGGACTGCACACTGAAGAAGCACTCTGCAACACACAGCCCTGCCCAGGTATGGCAAATCAGCCAGTGCATCTTTGTTGTTCATGTGCCACTGAATAAGGCATTCACAGTTAAGCAACATAATGTCCTTGATCTGTTATTTAGAAGCAAATAATTTCTTTCCCTTATTAAGTGCACAATCAGCTCTTACATTCTAAAATGCTACAGTAAATCAAGTACTAGCAGGATATAGTATATAGGAAACCACAGCCTCCCTCTCTCTTTAAAAAATAAAATTTAAGTTACCAGGTCTGAATCTGGATTAACTAAAAATGTGTAATATTTGAAGTGGATCATGCAAACAGTTTGTGAGACTTAATATCACAAAGAAGTGCTTTTGTTATAGCACTAAACTTTCAGAGCAAGCAAATTGATGAGATTAATATTCAGCATGTGTTATCATGAGGTCCTTCAAGTAGATAATATTTGCCCTGTTTTCATAAAAAACACAAAACAAACTGTAGCATGCTTTGTAAAATACCTTCTTCAACTTCAGATGTTAAGGAACAAAGACTTCATCTTTTTAGATGACTGTGGAGTACTTAGTAGATGAAATGTCTCTAATTGTATGATATTATGCATCATGTCTTTTTCTGTCATTTTGACTCTGCCTTTTGACCCATATTAAAGGAAACTTATTTTTTCATGAAATTTAAGTGACAAATTGAGATTAAAACCACAGAAACTTTCATTTATTGCTGATTAGTGGATTACAGGCAGCAGCAAAAGGAAAGAAGCAGCTCTGATGCCGCACTGTATTACTTGCTTCACTTAGAGCTCCTAGACTTCATGGCAAAAGTTTTGTTCTCATATGATGAGGCAGTGCATATGAAGGCAAAAGCCCCATGAGTTTGAATTTATGGATCCTATTACTTATGATGAACTACAGTTTATGGTAATTCCGTTTTCTAGGCACTGCATGTCTTCCAGCAGAATAAAAGTAGCTACTTTCTCAAAATTAAAGCCGATGAAACATTCTGTATTGTGTTTGAAAAAAACCAACAAACATAGAAATCAGTTGATGATTTGATTTTCTGAGGCAAATAGTGTACATTTGTATGTAGAAATTACATAGCTGCCTTGAGATTCTTAAGGCATCTTTAAAATCTCAGAGCTAGTTCATTGTGCTAGTATTGTATCTATTTCTCGTGTTGTACATTTATTTTCTACTACCATTTTCCTATAAATGACAGTTTCCAAACATTTATAAATAATGTCTTCATCTTATTTTAACCTGTCCGTTACCCAAATTTTGGAGTGGATGCAGAATAGAGGAAGAGGTTGGTTTCATTTTGGTTCATGGATGTGGAAACCCTTACAAAACAATAAAATTTCAGAGGCTTAAAATGTATTTGTTACATCTGTAATATTTTATTTATATTTCAGTCTCACTGAAAATTTGCCATAGGTTTTTGAAATAGCACATCATCAGCTATGAGAATGGTCTTTGCCCCACGTTTACAATATAGATTTCAAAACTACTTTTTACTGCTCTTATTTCACATTGGTATAGGTCAAAAATAATTGCAGTATTAGGAGTTTGGAAAGGCTCCAGAATCTTTGCAGAGCTGTTTTCTTGTGATGAGGACCAGGTGAAGAGTGGTTCTTCCTTGTGCAGATCTGAAAGTACCACTGGTGACATTCACTGCTTGAGTGACATCTTTAATATAGAAAGAAAATAGTAATGACACTTTGAATCTAAGAACAATCAACCAACACAGAAATGCATAAGCAAAAATGGAAATTATTTGTAACATTTCTTAAGCTGTGAAAAGAGCAAAGATTTTTTGGCATTTGAAATAGTAGGGTTTTTTTCCCAAACAAAACTAGCAGAATACTAAATTTTCTGGAATCCCGATACTAAGGATTTCTTGAGGATATAGAAGTTTATTGACAAATCCAACTGAAAGTATTCAAATATGTACTTAAAAGAAAATAACAGACTTGTGCCTGCAAAATACATCAGTTTTTCTCATTTTTCATTTTAAAAGTGCCATTATTGAGTTTGTGGGTTTTATTTTATTTTATCCAAATGCAATTGCATTGATGTGAATGGAAGCACTGCAGTATTGATCAATAGTCATTTATAGGCTGCTTATCAGTAGGTGTAATCAGTTGCAATGGTGCCTGTAATGTACTGAATAAAACATTATCTTATACTTAAAGTATTTACTGCTGTAAGAGGGGAAAATACGTTCTGTCCTTGAACTGTTAACTCACACATGCGAACAATGGATAAAGCAGTTGAGCATTTAGAAATGATGGTATAGTTCTACATGAAAGAAATTTATAATCTTACATTGATTAACCTCATCTTTCTGAGGTACCTTCTTCACCAAGGGTTCTCTTAAGAACTGCTTGAGCTTAACCTGACTTCAAAGGCCAGACAAGACTCTCTAGGAAGAAGGTGTGACATGTCATGAGTAAACCTTTCCATGTTAGAGGTGAAAAGCAGTGTCGGGTTAAACACCTCTCCAACCCACCCTCTCTTTTACTTTCTCATGGCTTTTGCAAAGAACTGAGGAGAAAGTTGAGAGAAGCCTGCCTGAGGTGCAAAAGAACCTCAGATACTGTGAAGATAAAGGAATCAAAGGGATGAGTCGAGATAACTGAGTCAGTAGAAGTCAGAAGAAGCAAAAGCTATGGGTTCAGTGTCCCTGTGAGGGCAGAGATAGAGGCTCCACAAAGGGCAGGTACAACAATTTGAAATTGTACGTCTGTCAGTCTTGGGTATTTTACTTCTCTGTGGCTCTCTGAGCTCCCAACAGTGGCACTCCTCAAAGCACAGTTTTCTGCTTCACCATTGCAGGGATGACCATCCCTTTCATGCTTGCACTGATGTCCCCTCTCTCCTCTTCTGTGATTCTGTGTGCAAGATGAAGCTGATTGGTATGGCACCAGACCCACTGACTACCTGTGCTGTAGTGTCTGGGTGGCACTGTGGGACTCACTATGGGAGGGAGATACCCTGTGTTGCTTATTTGGAAAGGTCCCAATGCTCATAGTATCTTTTACAAGTCCCTTAAAGGGCAGGCTGAAACAGTAACCTTGCCCAGTTACCCATATGTGACCTATCATGATCTATGTGTACTCTGAAGTTTCTATTTTATCACGGGATGTAGTTCCTGCAGTGAAGAACCTGGAAGGCCAAAAGCACACTGGACAAGATGGGGCTGCAAAGTACACCAGCCAACAAGATGTATTTAGGATGCTCACAAGTATTTTGACACCTACTGCATATATCCCAATTATACCAGGACTGGGCAGGAGTCTTGGCTCTGGCTTAAGCATGCTCTCTGCCACCCATGAGAACTGGGCCAAGATTTGTATTGAGCATCATTCCTTTAAACTTGAATGAGCAGAGCTTTATTTGTTACATAATATTTATGGTAATGATCCATATACTTAGTTGAATTAGATCCAGCAGCTGAAGCTGCAGGTGATGACAGCACCTGTGGATATGCCACACTATGTAGGAAGGAAGAAGCCTGTCCATTTGCTTGACTCCCACCTCAGCTCTCCTACCCTCCTGAAGCAGTCATCTGCTTCTGTGCTCCTACTACAAACTCTGCAAATGAAGCACTCTCAGGACCTTTCCTAAGAAACAGATAAGCCAAAATAAAAAAAATGAGTATTCTTCCTACTCACAATAACAAGATCCTACAAGCTGATTGTATTCAGGTATTTTCCCTGTTCAAATGAGGCCTCATCCAGACACTTGCTAATTGTTCATAAATATCAATATCCAGGTTCTTACCTGAGCTGGTAAGTAAAGACTACAGTCTCAAATATTCCTGCTGGAATCTTTTAAATTTTACGTGACTACAGTTTTAACTTTTTCCCTGTGTGAATAAGGGGAAAGTAATGAGTAAATGTGAACCTTGTGTACTGGATTTATGCAATGTATTGAAAGGGGTCCAAAACAGTGTAAAACTTTCCCGACTTTCCACCTGATTGACAGAGTAAAAAAGCTTCATTATTTCACAAATTTTGATGTTGTTCAATCTAACTTGAATCAAAATTAGAAAATATATACTTTTTCATTTGAAACAAAATGAAATTTGTAAATTTGTAAATTTGCCTCATATAGACATAAAATCAATTAAAACTTTGAAGTAGAAACAAGCTTGGTTTGGGATAGTAGGGCTGTTTATTCCATGTCAAAACCATAAAACCTATCTCCATAGGAAAGCTGACAGAAGAAAGAAGGAAGTTTAACTGAACTCTGTCTTTACTATGTTTGCCTAATTCAGAAGACTCCTATGAAGGCAAGACTTGTGCTTGAATTGTAAGAATGCTGAGTGCAGTACACTCACAGCATCTCATGGGAATAAGATCAATTCACTTCATTTAAGGGAAGTATCTGAGATCAGAAAGGCATGAAATAAAATGTCTTAATCAAAACTACATAAGGAGAGGAAGAAATATAGAAAAGAAATAGAAGCTGACAATAAACTGAATAGGGAAGAGAAGGTGAGAATACTTGATGAGCTTTATATACGGCCAAGAAATGGACCTGAAATAGCAGAAGATAAAAGAAAAATATTTTAAAAATCTTCAAAATACTACTATTTTTTGTAGTTAAATACACATCCTATTTCAGATCTGGAATACATACGCTTATAGCTCTCATTGCTACTTGTCAGGTACATAAACAAAGACAGTGTCCTTGTCCACCCTAATGACCTAGACTGGAATTAATTCCACAGCGATCACTCTTTCAGTCACCACTGCAGAATCCCTCCAACTTCTCACTTCCACACACGAAGGCTGTGGCAGAATTAAACATTTCAGAGACTTTTACCAAAGCTGAACTGCATTTGTTTTATTGGAATGAAGGTGCTGCCCTCTGATAGTTGGTGGTAGATGGGAGATGAGGCCTTCTGTCATAATTCAGAAATACAAGCTATTTTTCTCTAACTTGGTGTACTTGAAGCCTTTAATCACAGTGTCTGCATGTGTGTCCCTCTTTGCCTTTTGCAGACAGCTGGTCCGAGTGGTCCAAGTGGTCCGACTGTGACTCATCTGGCTTCCAGACCCGCACTCGTCAGTGCATCATTTTATTTCCTGTAGGTAGCCAGTGCACGGGCAACACCACAGAGAGCCGAACCTGTGCTTTGGACTCCAACTTTATACCAGGTGAGATCAGCCAGCTCCTTGAAGGATTAATGAAACTTCTCAAGGTTTCTGGAGTGAGACATAGCACTATTTCAGATTGCACTGCAGATTTTCCTTTTGTCAGCCAAAGCATGTTGGTCTACTATGCAGAGATGATGTTGTTAGATCTGGTGTCTACATGAAAATCTACCCTATGGCACCGAGTGCTGTAGAGCTGTCCCTGCTGTCACCACCTGGAACTTTGGTTAGTCACTGTTGCAGCATTCTGCAGGTCCTTCCCATCCTGCTTGGTAGCAGGGGATGACTGCAGACAGCAAGTAGAAATAGTTTGCTTTTTATTTTAATTTAAGTGTTTTTGAGACTCTAGGGAAACATTCCTCTAGGTTTTGTGGTTTGCCTATACAAAATGGCTGCTGCGATAGTTAATCTGGAAATCATTTCAGAGTCCCTTAAATTAATAATTGCTTAGAAACTCATTAACTTTGCTCCAGTCCTTATCTCCCCTATGACTGCTAAGTGCCTGATGGATAGTCACATTATGTATTATTCTACAGCATTTGTCAAAACTCATGACTATACTTTTGTTTTTAAATTACAGCAGTCACTTAAATCCACACAACAGTAGGGGTGGTCACAATGCACTGCTGTTCACAGTCATCTTTCTCCCTATGTACATTGAAAAAAGCTAGTGATCTTTTCACAGACAGAGAAATTTACATTTTAATGTATCATTTGAAATGTAGCTGTGTTTACTCAGTGCAGCAACCTTTTTTTTGTGTGTTACTATTTGGTATAGTACAATGTAAGAAAGACATCAACAAATTTAAACAGTGTGTTTATAGATAGTGCATAAGGCTTTAACTCCCAAATACTATTTTCCTCTAAAACTGATGTGAAAAATGTCAGTGTAAAAGCAAAAACTCCCACATTGTATTTTCCTCTTTTTTCTAAGGCTTTTGAAACTCTGTTAATACTCACATTCTGTGAATCTCCAGCTTAATCCAATATAAGCTCTACATCTTGTTTTGGAAAGTAGGTGTTTGCAGAATCTGAAATGAGCCACCTCTTCTCTTTCCCTTCTCCCTCTCTTGTCACTCCTCCTCAAATTGTCCCCTTGTGCTTGGCACTGGTGAGGCAATATGTTGGATCCTGTGTTCAGTTCTGGTCACCTCTCTACAAGAAAGACATTGAGGTGCAGGAGCGTGTTTGGAGAAGGGTAGCAAAGCTGTGAAAAGAGTCTGGAGCACAAGTACCATGAGAAGCGACTGAGGGAGCTAGGGTTGTTTAGCCTGGAGAAAAGGAGGCTCAGATGAGACCTTTGCACTCTCTACAACTACCTGAAAGGAGGTTGTAGTCAGGTGTGTGGGGGGAAATCTCTCCTCCCAAGTAGCAAGTGATGGGACAAGAAGAAATGGCCTCAAGATGCACCAGGGGAAGTTTAGATTGGATATTAGGAAAAATTTCAGCACAAAAGTGTTGTCAAGCACGGGAGCAGACTGCTCAGGAAAGTGGTGGAGTCACCATCCCTGGAGGTATTTGAAAATCATGTAGATGTGGCTCTTAGGGGCATGCTTTAGTGGTGGACTTGGCAGTGCTTATTAATGATTGGATTCAATGATCCTGAAGGTCGTTTCCAATCAAAATGGTTCTGTGACTGTGAATTAACAGTCTCAGTGAGACAAAGTATGCTTTCAACCTTTAACTCTCTGTAAGAGTGTGTTCTGTCAGGTTTGATGTTTTGTCATTTTGAAAATAGTTAGCATTGGTTTAACTTGTTACAAATGATAAAAAATTGTGATCCCTTTTACAGTAGCTGCATTGGGATCATCTTCTGGCAGTGGAGAGCCTACTCTTAATTCCTCATACAGACTCTAGTGCATCTCTGTGTGTATCATTCTTTCCCTTCTCTGGTCTGTTTGTTAGTTCTAGTAGAGACATCCTTGGATGGGAAAACCAGAGCTCCATACAGTGTTCATGGTGTGGACAGCACATAGATTTGTAAAGTACCATAATGCTGATACCCTGTTCTATTCAATATTGCTTTCTTGGCAGTACCTAGCATTTGACTTTCCTTTTTAACTCCTTCTGAACACTAAATTGTTATTATCTCCGAACAATTTGTCATAACCTGCAAGTCTCAGTCATGAGTACTAATGGTTAGCTCACAGTCCATCATTTTGTAGGTGAAGCTAGGATTTCTTTCCACTATATGTACCACTTTGCACTAATCTGCATTCTGTTTTATTTATTGTTTTATTACCTAGTTTTAGAAGGCCCTTCTACAGCTCTTGACAGCATTCCCTTGTCCATGCTACCATAACTTTGTATCATCAGCAAACTTCAAAATCACATTTGCCTCTGCTTTTCTAGGTCTTTGCTGGAAAGCCTAGGTCTCTGCAGAAGTGGTAACCTTCCTCCATTGTAAGAACTGGGCAAATAGTACTAGCCTGGTTTTGTATCTCTTTCCTCATTTCATTCTTACTTGGAAAGCCATTGTCAAAGTACTTAAAATTCTGCTTTTTTGAAATCCAGGTAGCCTGTGTCAGTTACCCCACTCATATGCGCACGATCCTAGACTGTTTTGTAAAATAGGACTTCCCTTCCCAGAAGCCAAGGTCTGCAAGTAAAGAGAAGAAAAACTTGATTTTATTGAGATTTTATTCAGTATTTTTTCAATATTTTTTCAAAGTCAAAATGGTAAGGATACAGGCTGGAATTACATTTTATTAGTTTACAACTGAGACCCATGAAATTGGCAGTCGTCTTTTCTGATGATGTGTAAATTCCCATTTTTCACATTAGTGCCAGACGTGACTTCTAGAAGTAATGAGCCCATTTGAACACAAGGTAATTAAACTGTAGTTAATTTTGCTATTCAGTAAATCAACTCTTTCTCCACATGCTTAAACTCCACAAAGAATGTTTTCATGTGCACTTCATCTTTTTAATTCCAGAGATGTTTTGAGGCAAGAATTAAAAAGAAGTTACTGCTTTTGCTTGGGAAACTAAGAAACCTGAAGATGTTATGGGACCTTTTTATTAATTCTACCCCACAGTCAAAGTATTTTTTTACTTTGGATTTGTAGTGAATGTAATAGAATGAATTTTTAAATCCTTACTGTGTTAATCAAACTAGTAGTTCTCTGTAATATTTTTTTTCTTCTTGGCCTAAGTGGTTTATTTATTTTTCTAGAAATATCTGTGGCACGATCCAGCAGTATAGAAGAGAAACGATGTGGCGGTAAGCTTTTCAGCTCAAGATGTGTATTAAATGCTGAATTATTGATTCTGTGTTTTTGCTTTTGTTTCACCTTTTCCACTCCCTTAGTCTTATTCTACCTTCTAAATGCTGCGTTCTCATTATTTACGCTTGCACTGAAAAAGTAGCTACTTATGCAGAAAACTGTAGTTACTACAGGATTTCTCATTAAATATCTATCTGTCATTGGTGACCTTTGAGACAAGAACATGCATTACTGGATGTTTGTGTTTTCTTGTTTTTCAGTATGGCAGTCACCATTGTCTCAAAAAAACCACATATAATAAACTAGTTATCAGTAGGTCAAAATCTGTAATGTTGCTCGACATTTTTCAGGACAATAATTTCACAAACCTCTTTGGGACTCCAAATAAACAGCAGAAAACCAGGCTGGTAGCCCATTTAATAGCTCAGACTCTGTCTGGGACTCATTTTTGTCTTCACTGACAAAGACAAAACTAAAAAGTAAATAAGAAGTTCCATTCCAGAGATTCATGATACTAACAAAACAAATCTTGAAAGGAAGAACTTTAAAAACCACCAAACAAAAAGAAGAAGAATAAAAAGGAAAATGACCTTTTTTTTTTTTTTGTGCTGAGCTATTACACTTAGTCTGTGTCGTCATGGTAATAGCTCTGACCAGGTCTACTATTCTTCCATGCACAGATAAGCTGCATTTTTAACCTAATAAAATACAATGAAAACACGGAGATTATGCAAGGGTACCTTTCTGTATTGTAACTTGTTATGGGAGCCAGGATAATGTAATCTGATTTTTTTACTAATTAGCAGTAGTTCTCTGAAAACGTTTTATCAAGTTTTGCAACACTGGGAAACTGTCATAAAAGTGTAGAAGGATATTTCAGTGGTAGTTTATATATTGAAGCAGTCATCTAGTTAGCTAAATATAGTTTGTGTTTCTAAGTACCCAGTAGGCATGTAAAGGTCCTACCTTAGGCATTTACAAAAAATGGGACTCATGTCCTGGCCTGTTTTTCTGTATTACAGTGAAAAAGGTCTAACAGATGTTTTTAAGACTAGCACCAGTATTTCAGTTTAAAATCTTTCATTTGTGCATTTAAGCAGCCACAAACAAATCTTCAGTAATCTTAAGATGAAATTTCTGACACGAGCCTCTCACTGATACTTCTTTCCTAATCAAAAAACACAGTTCCAGTTTGAAAGAACAATGGAAAGCAGTATAATTTGTTTATTTTGAGCTAATCCTACTCGTGCCACATCTGACCTGGTATCTATTCAGTAACATCGGGGAATGACTGTGCTTTAGATTCCCTTCTACGGTTTCATGCAGCAATGAGCTTCCTCTCAATTTTAATCCTTACGTAGGTGGAGAGGGTTTCCCATCATTTCATCCTGTAGTATCTTTGAATGGCAGAGCAGACAGGAGGGTGCTGGGCTCTGAGTTGTTGACTCTACACTCTCTGGCTGCTATGCTTAAAAGCATATTGAGCTTCAAGGAATCTGTCTCTCCCTACTACCCGTTTTCCCCTAACATGCTATCATTTCTTTCTCATTCTCCCCCTTACACGAAGAAAGGAGATATGGAAAACATTTTAGGGAAAAAAGGGATGTGATTCAAAGATATCAGGATTTTGTTATGGCCACAAGTCACCATGTATAAGAGAAAGAACTAAAAGGGCAGTAGAGGTGCTGATATTGTAGTTCACTGAAAAAAAAAAAAACCAAAACCTATGTATTTACATTATACACATAATTTATATATAACAAGGCTTTGTTACATAGTCTGAAAAAAAAAAATTGATGAACTATTCAAACCTACAAAATTCAATTCATTTATCTTTCACTTGGGTTCTGAAATTATTTAAGCATTTTTCAGAGATCTCAGTCTTAATACTTATGGAGATGTATGGGTATCTAAGATTCTTATAATGCTCCCTTCAGGGAAGTAAAATGAATTTACTACTGTAGGGATAAACCATTGCAATTGTTTCAGAGAAACACATGAAAATTTCCTTATCCTTATTTGAATCAAACACTTGTGTACTTTTCCCCCAGGTTTAAGCTTTTATTTCTACTTCCTTAAGATTAAGAATGTCTTCTTCTCTCTGCTCTGCAGAGTTCAACATGTTTCACATGATCGCAGTGGGATTAAGTAGCTCAATACTTGGTTGCCTTCTTACCCTGCTTGTTTACACTTATTGCCAACGGTATCAACAACAGTCCCATGATGCAACTGTCATCCACCCGGTGTCACCAGCTCCTCTCAATACCAGCATTACCAACCACATCAACAAACTGGACAAATATGATTCTGTAGAAGCCATCAAGGTGAGAAGTGGGTTGGGAGCTATTATATGCTCCTAGAAAACATTTCTGCTGTATCAAAAGAATTCTACTTGCTAGTTTTCTGCAGTGACATTTGGGCTCAAATTATGCTGATTGTTAATGACAAAAATAGATTTCATTTGAAATATTTTAATTGCAGATCCTTTTATTTGTCAATCCCCGTTATGCAGGAAGTTCAATTTTGCATGTGTATATAATTTATACAGCAACCTTTCCTGGAAAAAAGCAGACCACTCAAGTTTTTTTTTTGTGGGATTTTTTTTCCTAATTGTGTTCCCTAGTGGCTTGTTCAAGAAGTAAATAGAGCCATTAATGATCACCATGGCATATATTGAAGATAATCCTTTGGCTCTGATGATCCATTCTCAAGGGCACTGTCCATCTTCCTGCCCTATGTCTCCATACAGGAGATGTATCTGGTGAATATATTCTAGGTCAGACTCTCAACTAGTGTTTATACCCAAAATATTCTGTGAAACAGCAGTACAGATTTACTGAGAGTCCATAATAATATCCATATCATTTATCATTATTCCCAAACAGCAACTTCCTTGTTGTGACCTTTTAAAATAGCTCTGCTTTTCAGATCCACCGAATTAAGGAAGGATGTGCATTCTGAAAATACCTGGTTCAGTATCTTCAGACTACACAGTTTATTCATGCAGCTGCAAAGCTTTTTGCAAATGAGAATTTTTCTTGAATCCTACCTGGATAATCCAGTTTCTAATTTCTGCATTTTTCTTTCTAATTAAAGACATTTTAAACAAAATCATTAAAAACAGCAAGAAAACTCTGGAGTTTCTAGTCAGCAGTGGAATATGAACCTAATTTAAAGCTTTTTCAAATGCCGCTAATCATCTCTCTAGATAACTACAGAAACAAACAAACAAAAAAAAAAACCCACAACCCTTTGAAAATTCATAATTTAAAAACCCGTATTACTTTTTTAAAAAACAGAGTTTATGGTCTTAAAACCTTCAGTCATTTCTGCAACATATAACACTTGAGAATGAGAGAATTATTGCAGTAAAGAGAAAATAATTCTTTTTCAGTACAAAGATAATAAGTGAGTCATTCTAATAGGAAGAACAGTATATGTATTATTAAAAAAATTCATAGAATCATAAAATTAGTTTTGTAATGTTAGGGGAAAAGTGCCTGGCTTTATTAATTGCATAGATTTACTTTCTGTATGAATTTTATTACGTAAGAAGGTACTCCTTGCAAATGCAAGTTTTTGTAAATGTACAGGTAGTTCTCAATGCATTTTTGACTGGCTTACTATACACGGATATTAGCCACAAGAATTGCCTTGGTGAAAGAGTGCTTAGTGATCACTTTTCCTCTATCCTTTTCATTTTCTTTTTTCATTTTTTTTTTTTTCTCTTCCCAGGCATTTAACAAAAACAACCTGATTCTGGAGGAGAGAAACAAATACTTCAATCCACATCTTACTGCAAAGACTTATTCTAATACCTATTTTACAGATTTCAATAATTATGATGAGTACTAATGGGCTTGTGTATTTTCTGGCCTCCTGTAACTCCCCAGTCCCCAAGGCCTGTGCTACTTGACTGCTCATGTGATTGAGGCTTCAGAGGTGAAGTTCAGAGACATTTCAAGCACGATCCAAGCCATCAATGTCCCATTGCTGCCAAAAGCCCAAACCACCTGTTTGTGACACGATGTTTTCTTTGCAGAGCGCAAGATTGGCCGTCAGTGTTGGGGGCAGCTGTAGCCCCTCAGTGTCGCTGGACTCCTCATGAGGATTGTATTGCTTCACTCAGTTTCATAAATTTCCAGTCAGATTTCTCTAACAAGTGACTAAGTAATTCCTGAGTTTTAAAGAGAAATAATAATGTTACCCTTTAAACCCCTACCAGGAGTACAAATCTAATTTTCTTTTTAGGCATTGTCTTTTATTTTCTTGAGATTTAAAAAGGGAGCTTTGCTGTTAGCCCTCTGTGCAGTCTCCTGAAGCTCACATCGGTGGAAAGAGCTCACAGGTTGCTGGGAATGAGGATAAGAAAAACGTGATGGTTTAGTGATCCTCTGCAGCAGCTCTGGGCTCTGTGAGCTGGTCTTGGGCTGTAAATCACTCTGGCTGCAGTTCAGCTGTTCAGACTGTGGAGACTAAGGCTGTACCAAGGGATACAATCTTGTAATTAACCCAGACACCTCCAGGGTCAGTGGTTTCCAGTTGTGAGCCGAGCCCTGTCACATAAAGCCTTCACCTTGTTCAGTTTAATTTTTGGAAGGATGTGGAAGGGCATGTCCCACAGGGAGACTGATGGAGGAGGGCAGATGGGAGAGGCACACTGGAAGGTTTTTCTGTGTGTTGTTAGTAAAGCAGCCTTGCAGCAGCGTGCGGGTTTGCGCAAGTTGTGGCATTCCACAGGCTTCCTCTCCTTGGTGCGTGCATATGGGAACACACTTGTCTCTGCTGTAGCACTCACCATCAGGCTGATATCACAGAACGATATGGCTGCACCGCCTTTTGTGTGCTGTCTCTGACTCCTGGGAGTATGTAGGTATAATCATAGATCTGCTTTTTTTCTTTCCAGCTTTTACTTTATATGCACGTCTGACAAACAAGGCTGGCTCAGAAAGCATAGAAATATTTGCAAAGCATTGTCTCATCTTGTTGCCATGTCTGACCCACGTCAGTTAACCCCTAGAGGAACATTCTTATGGTGTTTTAAGTGATGATCTTGTTGTAAATATTTAAAATACTGTTTGAGTTTTAAGTTATCAGTTTTAATTCTTTTTATAGTGGCAGGTAAGGAAACACAAAGAAGTTTTATACCATTTTTCTTTGTTCCATCTGTCTTCACCCACATTCATGACATTATTTTTGTATCTGAAATTCCAGATGTATAACTAAAAAGAAAAGGGCAGGGATTTGGGTCAGATTTTTCAGACTGTGTAGTGATAAGGCAGCATTTGCTATTCTCATAAGCTTGTGAGAAGAAATTACAAGTGAATATTAAGGATTAAAGAACTGGACTTTCATTTTCTTGCTAAAATCAAAGATCATCATACTAGAATGCTAGGGAGGCATGCAAGGAGAAGTAGAATGGAAAGATTTCCATTCTGTGTTTAAAGCCCTTGCTAATTAGGTTATGTTATGATAGGCAAATAGAGAAAAACATGTACAGATTATAATGATTCACAACTATGTACAAAACCAGCAAAAAGTACCAAGAAACATTGATCATGTGAGACTGCATTTGAGCACCACTTTGGTGGTCCAGCCATCTACATAGCAAGGGTAAACACTGTATGTACTGATGGCAGTGAGCTACATTTTTGAATGGGGATATATCTGAATGTAGCAGTCTCTATTCTACAAAAAATTCAAAGCAAGTGGTCTTTAAAAAGCTGTGCAGTAAAATGAATGCACATTTACCATCTGTGAAAATAATTAAGATCAGCCACCTATTTTTTGCAGCTGAATAGTTCTCCCTGTTACTAGCTCAGTCAAATAAAAGCACCTCACCTTCACACCAGTTCATCTCCAGAAAGTATAATAGTGCTGGTTCTGTATAATTTGTGATTTTTTTACTGTACATTAGATTTGGTTTCCCAGGAAGAAATTAGCTGATTGCCCTGGGGAAGAGAAAATTTTCTCTGCAAGAGATAGAGGGGGAAAAGGCTCTCCAAATCATAACCAGTCTGGTATTTGAGTTGGTATATTCATGCCAAAAGATAAAATTTTATATTTAAATAAGATAAAATAAAATCTATATTTCTGCTACTGCCAAGAAAAAACAGCACATGTACATACACTCATATGTGAAACACTGTTCCTTTCTGCCCCTGTGTTAAGAGCACATTAGTCCAGCTTATGGATTTTATATTTAGATTTCTAGTTATGAGACCAATATCTTAAAAATAATTGAAATATGTACTTTTATTTTAACCTTTTTTAATTAAAATTACTGAAATTACCTTTTTTTTTCCTAACTCTTCAGTAGTTTGAGGCACGCCTATCTTTACAGTGATCTATTTTCCATTCTTTTCCTGGATAAATACATATGTTAGATACATGTTATATATGTGGTAATAATACCCTAGGTGAAGTCTGCATAATCATAGGTAGAAGTGCATTTAGCAGATGCTCAGTCTGCTCACACTTCCATCTCCCAAAGGAGTATTTCAGGTGTTCCGTGTCTTTGAGCAATTCCCATGTTATTGAAGCACCATGCCAACTTGTCCAGAAAGTGATTCTTTTAAGCTATTTTTCTGTCATTTAGCTTCCTAAATTTCATTGTTCTATATCCCAGGCAAAAATTTATTCAAAACTCTATCTGAAGCAGCAGGTGAGACATGGAAATACCAGAGCACTTCAATGAGAAAAACTTGACAACAGGATCTCCTTGCCAAGCTAGATTGTGAAACAACAGGTTTTCAAGCTGTTAGATATTTGTGTCTTAGGTAATTTTAGAGGACCCCAGATTCAATGCCTGTATCAGTATTTTCACCTTCTGAGTTCTATGAAGCTGCCCAGGTAGTTTAGTACAGCTTTTTCTTACTTTATTTAATATTTTTTTTTCTAAAATAGGCTACACACATTTTGGTGAAAAGCAGATATCACAGAATCATTTAGGTTGGAAGACATCTAAGATTAAGTCCAACCATTAACCTAGCACTGCCAAGTCCCCTACTAAATAATGTCCATTCCTCCATGAAAGCTCTTATTTTTATTTTTTTTTTGTCAAAAATTTAACAAGGGGGCATTTTCCTGCAAATCTTGTTTAAGCCAATGAAGCTCTCAAATTTGTGCAAGGGTAAAATTAGGTTAAGGAATTATTCTGTTTTGGAAAGGAAAAATCAACTCCCTTGCTCATCAAATGCCATGCTTAAATACCTGCTCTATTATGGATAAATAATTACATTACCTCTGAAAAATGCCAATAGATAATATTACTAAACCACTTTTGCACTGATTGCATAAATTTAAAATTGCTTCTCTATTTTGAATTCAAACATTTTTGCAGATACATCAAAATTGTCTAAGTAAAGCTGCTTCCATGTAGCCCTGCTACATGGAGGAAGCAGGATTGCCAGTCACATCCTGCACGGTATAAACTTTCATTGGCTAACTCAAAGTATACATTTTGTGCTTGTTTTTATGTCCGATACATAGCGTTTGTTCCTCAGTTGCTTAGAAAATGTACTCATGTCCTTGCAGATGTATCTTGGACTTTGATTTGAGTCTGATGATCTTTATGGTCTTTTAAAGTTACTTTACATAGAAGCTTTTCCAGTCATTTGCAGTCACCTGCTGTTGAAGCAGTGTGGTTTTGCTAAAATTAATCAAGAGATTTTTGACTAGTATTAGGATTTTCATGAGAGGGTGGAAGAAAGAATGGGGCTTAAATGGCTTTGATTTCCAGGCTATTAAGCAGTACTGATTAAAGTCTCATATGGGTGTAGGACACTGTGCATTTAGTTTGCTCAACCAGAGCTCCACAGCAACCTCTGGGAAAATGGCATGCCAATGTACAAATCAAGAGCTACTGAAGCACTTATATTAGTGAAGAAAGTTCTCAGAGCGTCAGACCATATGGCTGTTCAAACCAGAAAACCAGTGGTCTCAGATGCAAGTAAAATGTTAATACGATTAAATGCTTCAATATTTTTTCCTCATAATTATAGAATGAATATATTCACTTCTTTAAATGTGGGACCAGTTTTATTAAAATCAGCGCAACATGAGCACATTCCTAATGTTAATTGTATGCATAATGGCTTTGCTGTATGAGATCAATTCTGTAAACAGTTTGGTCTAAGCTTATATTGCTCTGCTTAAGGCATCTGGCCAATTTCTGATTGTAGCTGCCACCAGCAACCTCTTTGTCTCGCATGGGAAAGCATCCTTAGATGGGCAGAGTTACATCCCAGTGTGTCTCTCCACCAACACTGCAGTGAGCCTGGAGAGATATACTTCTAATTTGCAGTGTTGTTTGGATGCCTAAATTTAGGTTGGCAAAAGCTAGGCTCTTGAGTATAATTTTACTCATCACATAAGTAACCACACCGAGATCAGTGGTATGGATGTAACAAGTTACTTATTTTAATGTGTTTACAGAATTGAGCCCAAAATGTATTGCTTCTGCACAAATCCATGCACAGTACAAGATGACTTCAATAGTAAGAAAACAGATTCATTTAAAATTGTTCACAAGCGAATCTGCATCTTGATATCAGGGAATAATATGTGTTCATTGTGTGGGGTATTTGAATTCATTCCTTTCTTTGCTAAATAAATGAATGATAAAACAAGGTACTGCTTGACTTCATTTAAAAGCCATTCTTCCAAATAAAGAAGGGTTCTAGGATTTGTGGACATTTTCCCTTTCTTTTGGTCTCGTCTTCTCCACAAAAATGAATCTGTGTGTGGCTGAAATGGCCTTTAGCTAGACTGTTCTATGTCACTAAATGAATGCTTTGCATTGTGTTGCCATGCAACAACATTTTCTAACTGGGATGGTACAAAGACGGAAATGTGCAAACCTGGGAGGTTTGGCAAAGATTTCAATCCCAGCAGTAGCAAGGATAGGCAGAAGTGAAAACAAAAACACAGAAGAATGTGACTGAAGACTTGGCAAACTTGCCAGTAAACTCACAGGAACTTAGAAGCTTCTTGGGAACTGCTAAGGGTGAGGCTGTTGGGAATGTAACCTCCTGAATAATCAAGCCAACTAGTTGCTCAAGAAAAAGCAGTCTGATTGCAACAGGTATTTGTGCAAATCTGTGATTGTTGCTCAGAATTGGGGAAAAATTGAGTGGTGACACTGTCAGCATCAGGTTAACCAGAAGGGATGGAAATGCTCTCACAAGCAGTGAGTGCTGCAGTACAGGGGGCATTTTGGCAATACCTGTGTTGGCAGGAAGGATAAGGCAAGAGGAGTAGATCCGTAGAGCCAAACAGTTGCTGAACTCCTGGATTTTGGACTAGCTCCAGTCTAGTCCCACAGGCTGAACACACATGAACAGTTAGAGTGTGTACTCCCGTAGTTTACCTCATTCACTGAAGAAAAAAAAAAGCACCACACCAGATGACATGCTCTAAGACCGCCCCGTGGTGCAAGTTAAAGCTGAGAAGTGTACTGGAAACTGATAAACCTTTTGTTTCCAGTTGACTTTTTGGATCCAGATTGGACACTTTTTCACATTCTTGCCTTCCTCTTGCCTTTTCTGCTTGTGAGAAACTGATCACAGCTCTGCCTTGCTGAGTATATATCAATTTGACAGAGCGATTTTATGCCAGTAGTGAGATCTGCTAAAAATTTGTACTGTAAAAGTGACATCAAGGGCTGTGTGAAAACTGTTACAGTGATACTGAGTCTGTTTTATTGTAATTGGTCTTAAACTGAAAGTACTGTAGCAATTCCTCAACTGAAATGAACATCTGAGCAGAGATGGTAATTTTCAGAAAAAAATTCAATCAGTGTAACTTTCAGCATGCTCATAATTCAGTCCTAGAGGCTGAAAATGCAGAAAGAAGATGTTATTTGCACTTGTTTTTTGTTATTTTTTCTCCAGAGGATTTATCCACAAACCTCACCCAACAATAGCTTTGGATTTTAAAATATCATGAAAGGTAATTAACAATAAGCAAAGTATATGTTCCAGGATTCATAGCAAACCGTATTTGCTAATCACCAAGCCAATGGTTTTGAATGAATTCTCACTTTTGTTAGCTACAGCAGTAGACATTGACGAAGAGCAAAGGAAATAAAATTTCAAATAAATGGGACATTTAAGGTCCCAACTTTTAAATAAAGTTTGCCACAAACCCATACCACAGAGATGGGTAGAAGTATTTTCAAATCTCATGATTTGGACCCCAATATGGATTAGAGTAGTTCACTCCCTTGATTTCCTAGACCTGTTCATAACTTCCCAAGAACACTCCTTTTATATTTGGGGTTTTTTTTAATCTTTGTCAATTACTTATCCATGACCATAATAAGCCCACCTTTGCCTATGATTTCCCATGAAAACTGAGCTAGGATTTCTCCTGAGATACGGATTAGAGTCAAAGATGCTTTCTAGTAATAAAGATGTTTCTGTTAACATACTCTGTGCTGTAGAAAGGCACAGGCTGAAGAGGGCATTCTCTTCTTCCCATCATTGGCATTTATGTAGAAAATGAAAATAGAGGAAGGTTAGCTAGCCTGGTTTGCTGGGAGTGCTTTTGGGATATAAATGACTCACATAGATTACAGTAATTAACATACCATAATAACAACCGTCATGCTGGGAAAGACCAGATGTGTCTTTAAGCCTCTTTCCTGCCAGTAGCTGAGAGCATCTGTATTTGTGCTTCAAGTGTTCCTTATTTTGATATAATCCTTTTAAAGGGTAGCCTTTCCTTGCAATGGAATCAAATATTTCTTCATTTCTTATTTTTATTTTTTCTCATGGGAGTTACAACTGTTCAAGTCATAACGGGATTACTTCCTGCATAGCAATCCTCCTCTCCACAGTAATGGAAAAAACCCCTCTATATGTTACCCTGTGCTACAGCACTAAGTTTGTGCTGTTTTGCAACCCCTCTTTCAGTACAAGTTTTCCAGACACTTGCATGGTTGTCTCCATCTTCTCTGTTTTCAGTCAGAAGCTGATTTCTGGTTACAAATTTAAATCTGATACCTATGTACTCTCTGGTCATTTGTGACTGGATTTCTTCAGACTTCACCTGACAAGACCTCTCTGTATCTCTACAAAAGTTTAATTCCAGAAGCCTCAGGTGGGTAGTTAGGGACAGAAAACATTATTTTGACATTGAATGTTGTTAATTTTGTTGTTGTTGTTGATTAAGGTAAACCCTTTTCAGAGAAAAAACACAGTAGGTAAAGTGAGCACAACTATACATGTTACCAACTATTTATGCCAGGGTAATCTGTGATTTAGATCCCAAAATCTTGCACAGTCTCTATGTTGAAATTCATAGGAGAGCTTGATAAAATGAGAAAACAACAAAAACCTTAAATCTTCAATAAACACAAAGAAATTTCAAGAGTGGAAAGTTCATCCACCATAACTCTTCAGCACATGCACTTGTTCTAGAGTTCAGTATCTATTAAAAATGCAGTCCATTTTTAAATGTTCACAAACCTGAAATCTGAGATGAATAAGGGAACGAGCAAAAAGTGCCCTAATATTCAGAGAGGGTGCACTCATGTCATGTTGCAAGAGCTGTGTGATTACATCAGCCAGTTATCAACATGGAAAATTTACAGATAGTAATATTTAAACGTAGGAGCTGTTTTAGCCAACACCAGGAGCTTTCCTCAAAGCTTTCCTGGAAAAGCAGAAAGGCTTCTGCTGCTGAACAGGTTAGGATTTGATTTGTTTCATCTGCATATTTTCTGACACCAGTAGCAGGTGAGATTCATGACTGTTGTTTTTTTACATAACTCTCGTGTGTGTGATGCCTGGGGATGAAAAGTCCCTGCTCAAAAGACAAACTACTTTACAATTGCCTAGTGTTTTTTTTACCTGCTGTTTGTAGTCTGCTTGTGAAAAAATGCATATACTCTTTTCTATCTGGACTCACGTGGTCTCTCTCCCGTGCACATGTGCACACAAGCATATACATGTCCAGCATGATAAAGGGAAACTGGGACAAATATTGCTGAAATCACTGTCAGATCATAGTTTTAGCTTTTTGTGTCTGTAAAGATACTTTTTTCTTCCTGTTCCCTGTGATCATATTTCTTACTGATGCTTGAGAGCACACACACTGACTGAAATCTGGTACACAAACACAAAACAGAAAGGCAGATTTCTGTGTGGGAGTTCTTAGTGTGAGTTGCCTCAATATTTGAGCAGTAGTTGCTGACAGCTTTTGGTTTAAATAATACGTTATTATCTCTGAAGAAAAGCGTCTGGAGGGTTACTCAGCCAGTCCATACAAATTGAGTACAACATCCTCTTGGTTTTCTCATTAAAGAAAACAATACCAGCGTTGCAGGGACCACTTAGTGATCATTAACAGGGGTACAAGCATTGCTAGCAATCTTGTCTGCCATTTCTGCTCCAAAACTGCACTCTATGAAGTTTCAATGAGAGTCAAAATAGATGCTACCAAAACTAAAGCACCATGCACACAACTTTGCCTCTTAAAGCATGGCCTTTCACAGGCAGGTTCTTTTCCTAAGAACCACAAACGTCTGCTAGGCATAGAATCAAAGTTGAACTAGTGTTTCATGAGGAAAAAAAAACATGCTGACCAGCAGTAACAAGACACCTCTGGTATGGCTCTAGACCAGAAGTCTTTCAAGTTTATGTCTAATAAAATGGGCCTGATGTAGTGAACTCAGAGCTATCATTAAAAAGTGGGCAATTGCCAGCAGTGTGGCACCATGATTTTCCTCTAATAGCAGACTCAGTGTGTATCAGAAATGACAACTGCACTTGGAGATGCTGTTTATTAGAGCTCTGTGTCCAGATGGTAGGCTTCAGTCTGCTTTGTCTGCATGATAATAAACACCTGGTTTCCTCTCTACACCAAATAAAATTTCTGCAAGAACATTAGCCACTTTAAACAGTTAGTAATTTAAATTAACTTCAGAAATAGCCCTGTAACCAACCAATAATGACCTTTTCCTCACCAAAAACCTAGAGTACTAAAACATAAAGAGAAATACTATTTCACAGTCTGGCTTCTATCCACTAAAAGTAATAAAGTTAAAATATTCTTTTTCAGTATTTTTGTCATCCTATCTGCTTCAGCGAAATCAACAAACAAAACAGGCTATTGCAAAAAATTTTTATCTTTGTGAAAATATGTGAAATAGCATTTAATTTACCTAACTCTGTGCAAATGTTAAATTGTGAAAGCCTGTTTAAAGACAATAAAAGCAATTGCAAAATAGTTTCAATCCAAGAGGACTGAAGCAGAGTTTAAAACTCTGAAATGCACTATTGTTTATGCAGCAATTTCTTTTGCTGATGTTCCATCCTGGTGGTAAATAGGATTAGAAGACCTAGGGTAAGAATAAAAAATAAACAAATAAAAAAGTGGGGAATGTTTACGTAGCTCATAAGGAACCATGTCATGTAATTAGGCAGGGTTATTGTGGCTCTTTCTTGCCAGTGCTAGCAGGTGAGATGGGTAAGTCACCTTTTGACCCTTTACAGTTGGATGGCTTGAAATTATTTATAACTCTAAATCCCATCCAGATCATAAACTTGGTCCACAAATTCTTGTGAGGGATGATCTTTGTTCTAAAGAACCCCTAGGCAGCTGGCAAAGCAAGAAATACTTCCTTC